CACTCTGCCTCAAACCCCTGAATATATTTTCTGTCAGTTTACAATAGATAGTAATTCAAACAAGCAAATTTTATGAATATGTGCCTAAAATAAATTACCCCAGAAAATTAGTTTACCCAAAGTCCAACGTCAATTTAAATGCCGATCTCTCCTCAAGGTCCTTAAAAAATCTGTTACTAATCTTAGACTGGGGAATTGGGTTGTTTTAGGAGACGTATCTCTCATCTTCTCAGAAAGGTTTGCCTGACGTCCAGAAGGGAGTCAAGACATCACACTGCATCACAGCGTATCAACACAAAATGAGCGAGGCGAGGAGTATATTACACGTTTACAAACAACTGAGTCTAAATGTGGTCTTTGAGGCTCCAGGATGTAATATCAGAGGAAGTATTCATTCCCTGGAAAACTGATGGAATCACCGGATCTCAGCCGTTTCAAAGACAGGAAGCGCTCGCAGCACTTTTTCTGAAAGCAGGTCTTTTCACAGAAAGGGGCTGCAAGCAGAAGGGGCCATTTTAAAGTAAAAAATAGATATGACTTTCCTTCACGCTGTTGATTTAAATATCCACCTTCTCTCTTTTAAAAAAAAATAAATCCTTTTACTGGGGGTCCTTACAGCTCTTATAACAATCCATACATCAATTGTATCAAGCACATTTGTACATATGTCATCATCATTGTCAAAACATTTTCTTTCTACTTCAGCCCTTGGTATCAACTCCTCATTATTTTCCCCTCCCTCCCCCATCCTACCTCTCACACAAACCCTTAAGACCATAGATTCTATATCTTGTAATAGCTGGGTGCCATCGGTTTTCTTCACCACATTGGCTTAAGCACCCATTTTGTCTTCAGCGATTGTGTTGGGAAGGTGAGCATCACAGAATGCTAGGGTATTAGAACAAAGTGTTCTTGCATTGAGGGTGGACTTGTAGAGGCCCAATGTCCATCTGCTACCTTAATACTTAACCTATATGTATACTGACCTATATCCCTATCATTATATATTAATATATGTACATATATACATGCCTATACTTATACCTCTATAAATTTATTTTGCCTCCTAGTCCTTTCCTCTATTTCCTTTTACTTTCCTCCTGTCCCACTATTATGTTTGAGCTTAATTCAGCTCTCTGTACTTCCTTTTGGCTACATTAGACTTGCTCGAACCCCACCAGGTATCCTATGACCTCCTTGCCAATTATTTGAGATCTCTTGGTTTTCCATTGTCTCTGGGTTGGTTGGCTCCCCACTCCTTCTCTCTTTAATCATTAACTTTCTCACCTAAAATATTGTAATAAGTTACCTAGTCATATAGCTGTTTTAATTCTTTCTTTATATATGTGTTCTTTCATCTGGTCTTCAGTCACTAGGGTTCAATGGTCAACTCAATTCTTGAGTTAGCCTGTAAAATTCATGTTGGGCCTACTTACAGCCATACTTTGGTTCTTTTTTTTTTTTTTAATCATTTTATTAGGGGCTCATACAGCTCTTATCACAATCCATACATACATCAGTTGTGTAAAGCGCATTTTTACATTCATTGCCTCACTTTCTCTTTCTTTGACTTCTCAGCTTTTTGGGAGCCACCGTTCTGAACTAGACAGGTACAGCTGATATCACAAAGAAGTAACAAATCGGGTACTATGAGCTACCGACTACGCAACCAGAACCTGAAGAATACACCTTAAGTTTTCAAATGCTTAAATAGAAGATAAAACCGGATAGTTACAAAGGTACGATTTACTGAAAACAAACACCTAAACTTAAATGATCAGAGTTTAAATTAATAAACCTTCTTATATTTCAGGGAGATTACAGATTTTATTAGTTTTTAATCATTTAATTATAAAACTAGAATCTATCATTCCCTTCAAAGTACTACAGATACCGAATACTCATCTTTTCAGGAAACATCAATAATATATAGTTTTAGAAATGTTAATGTGCAACAAAGTTGATGTAGAAATAATTATTTTTAAAAATCCCACGGCTTAAAATTTTTGCATTAAAAACAAAGGGGGGACCAAAAATAAAATGGAAAACCCTTGAATCTATTTGTTTTTAAAAGACCTAATCAGTATTCTAAGTAATTTCTGGTGCTTAATGCAGGAAATTAAATCTTAAAAGAAAAATTACCCTGGTATACCTTGGTTCATAATCTTTAATGTTCTGGAAAGTTCCCTCTAAGTTTCATATTTTATTTAATCAGAGAGAAAGCCATTACTAAAGATGTAGCAAAATAAAAACATATTCTTAAAGTCCTATCTTAAAGTATGACATATGAACAGAAACAAAAAGAATGTTACAGATAAAATGGATGGCACCTATCCTATCTCCTCTCGTTAATTTTCATACTCAAGTTTTTAAAATCTATTTCAATTTATAATTCTGTTGCCATTCATTTAGTTTTAATACTACATGTAGAAAAGTATTTTGTAGACAACTTAATATCTTGAGTTTATTTTCACAATAAAAATTAATGTTATTTGAAATATACTGTTTTAATTTTTCTTATCAGGAGTACTTAAAATAATATTACAATTCCTTAAAGTGAACTATTTGTGGTGATAATTAAGGGTAAATGGACTACTGTAGTGAAATTTTATTTCAAATAAAATATAAAATATGACCAATTTTGTTATGTTCCACCTCGCACTAAGTCTTATAAGGCCTATCTGTATACACACATGATATAATTGTATTTATAATTCCATAGATAATTTCAATTATTTTATATAGATCACTGTTTTCCTTGAAAAATCTCATTTTGATTAAATGCACTATTATAATTCCTCTAAATAAATTACTTTAAAGGTAAAAGTTTATTCTTGTTTTTCTTCTTTCTCCAAATGATCTTTGTTCTAAATCCATCTCCACAGCAATAACTGGCATTTAACCACAAAATAGTGTGAAATCCATATTACAGACTACTTGATGTTCTCTCTAGATTTACAAAATGTTTATATACAGTTTAGTCTAAAACCATAAAACTGTCCCAAAGTAATGTCGTCTAACTCCAGTTAATCTGGAATATACAATTTGTTAGGTGAATTTTGGGAGGGAGGCTTTGAGGGTACACATTTAATACTTTTTTAATCTAACAACTTCACCATGTTACATAGTCATTTGCCTGCTTTTAGCACCCTCTGCAGGTGAACCAATATTATACAGGATGTTAGCCCCTAAAAGGCAATAAAATAGAACCTTTGTGGAAAAGGTTATAATGAAGTTTAATATATTAGTAAGTAAAATAAATCAATTACTCTCTCAAAGTTGTACCCGGGGAAGACAAACACTATTTTCCAAGGCTTTAATTTAATTGAATTGTTCAAAGTGCATGCTCATATATCTCAAGGGAAAACATTATTCTTATTGAGACGACACTATTTATACACAGTAAAAACAGTCAATGCTTAAAAAAAGTAAAAGTTTACAGTTTGCAGATCACAGCATGGAGATAATATATAAATTAGAACTGATGTAAAAATAAAGTGACACAGAAGACTTACCATCCCTGTTGGACAGCAGACACACCAGGCCATTGAGGCACGTGTCCGTGACTTCTGAGATGTTGGTAGCACACCTGCCTATAGTCTGAATAGTGGCTGCTGCAAACTGTTTGTCTTGGCTTTTCACATAGGTCTACAAAATATTATTTCAGTTAATTTAAAATGCTATCGAGTGAACAAAAAGACTATGACAGTAACCTCTGCCAAGATATAAGCATTTAGAATATATTATCTTCTCATCTAAAGGCACAACATGAGGGCCAACTGATGGCACGGCTTAATTTGATTTTGCTTTTCACTTAAAGAGCGTGCCTACAGAAGAGGTGGGCTTTCACACCAGCTTCAATCATCTGTGGCCGCAGTGGCATGTGGTTCCAAAAGAGATAGTAGGAGCAGTCACCCAAAGATAGTAATTAGTTTAAGTGCAAGGTTGAAGGAGATGATGAGAACTTTGAAAGTTTCAGTCCATTTAACCAGCAGCATCTGTGAATCTATGAAAGAAAGTGTCTCTTTTTCAGAGACATTAAATCTAAAAATTGGAAAAAGAGAAGAAAAAGGATTGATTTGCTATTGATAAACGTATTATTCTCAAAAAGGTATCTGAATGGTAGCAAGAGTGTAAGAGGAGCTACAGGAAGCAGCAGTTTAAGAAAGACATGAAAATGCTGCAATTTGCAATGAAATATACTATTATGCTTTTCTAATAGTTTTTCTTTGAAAGCCTGCTTCTATAAATACACTATAAACGGTATATGTACCCAAATGAACAATAAAATCAGTCAAAGATTTGACAATAGAAGTCAAAAATCATTTCAAATTTTTCAAGAATTTGAAAGAATTTTATCTTGGTTAAAATCCTATTATTTGAAAACTAAGCTTTCGTTGTTGACAAAAATTAATAGACTCTAGGTATACAGTACTCACATGTTTGCTTTTAAAGTCTTATTTCAACTAAAGTTTAAAAAAAAGGGTTTCCAACCTCAAGAGACATAAATAATGAAGAATTATATATTTAACTGTTGCCTAGATGACAAGTAGAGGGAAAATTCTGAGGATCTCTCAAAAATAATCTGACTTTTATGAAAATGGTATAAAGAAGGTGATTAAGTGTTGAAGGAATGAATTAAACTATGTGCAGGCAAGATCAATTGTATTTAACACTATTTACAAACTGATGATCCAATTCCTAAATTAATTTAAAAAATCACATTGATTTTTGTTAACTATCATATGAGTCTATAGAAATAGTCTCCATTTTACTCAAAAATTGTTATTGTAGGAAAATTATGCACAATTCTGGATATATGCTATACAAGAGGAACTTTAAAAGTTTGTAAATGAGAAATAATGGAAATGTTCCAGGAACTTTTCAAGACACCCTGTATAAACATACAAGGAAGATGCACAGATACACTGAAAAAATAAGTGAAATTTTTGAGAAAATAAATGAAATATGAAAAAGAGGTTATGCAATAAGTTCGACTAAAACAGAACATATTGAGTATCCTGACATTAAATAAATGACTGGGTTACCAATATTCTGAAACTAGTCTAGTGTGCTACCTCTGTAGACTCAACAATTTCAAAAATGACACGAGACTCCATACCAAGAACACTAGAGAACTTGGCATAAGCAGAAATGTGGACAGCAGAGAATATCCACAGATAATAAGGGCAACAGGAACAAACCAAATCATAAGAATGCTCTATATAAATTGAATTATTGCACAAGAATTTGGGACATGCAATTATATCTGGCACAAGAATATAAGATGAGTGGGTATCTATGGCACCACCTAAATTTACAAGGATTTTTTCTAGAAAAAATTCACATGAAAACACAGCAATCTAGATATGAAATTATAACTTACAGGGATTCAAAGTATAGTATCAGCTGAACAGAAACAAAATTTCTGTATATCCAAAAAGAAATGTAATATGGGCATATATAAGGATTATAATAAAATAAATTACCTCTGTAAAAATTGGGGTTGGTAAAAATGCTACCTGGATTAATAATATGCGGCATGTGGCATGTTGTTATTAAGAAAACTGCTGATGGGAGGGTAAGACTTTTAACAACAAGATTTTCCTACTGCTATGGTCCATCATTAAATCTTCACAGCTGACCTTTCTATCGCAAAGGGCACGATGCCCATGAGGTCATTTCTGAATAACAGTTTTGGTGGCATGGACCGAAATACAAGTCATCTCACCGCTTAGCAATAAATCAATACAAAAACAAGACAAATGATGGGGTGGAAGTTTTAAGCCTTCTCCCTTCCTCCCAGCTAAAAATAATCTTAAAGGGCAGAGTCTAAAATTAATTATATTATGGTAGTTAGGTGCCCCTGAGTCCGCTCTGACCCATAGTGACTCTCTCCACAACCTAACACTGTGGTAGGTAAACCAAACAGGACAACCAGGTAAGACAGGGAGCCACTGTTGTGATGCCAACACCATGAGGCGAAATCCTTCCTCCTCACCTGTTCCAGCGAGGATAAGGTTACAGACGAGTTTGCCACATTTAAAAAAAAAAAAGAATGGAAATTCTATTACATTTCTCTTAGAATGATACATTTGTGGTTATTGTTTATTTTTAAAATCTCATGAATTTCTCATTTGTTAAGCTTGTCCTAAATCACAGTTTAATTGATACAATTATATATTTCTAAATTGAGAAAAATGCAATCTAGCTTAAGACTGAACATGTTTTAGAAGTTCTAAGTAGCCTTTGTACACAAACCTGAAACTCTCGAAGAAGAGTTGATATATTGGCTTCATTTGCCAAGTTTGTCAGGATTTCAAGCTAAGGGAGAAAAACAAGAGCATTTTTTTTGTTATATATATTGAACACAGTAAATTAAAAAACACACAAAAAGTATACTTAAGAAAGACCGGGTATTGAATTGATAGGTAATTTCCGAGTTTTATTTATTTAGTTTGTGTGCATGTGTGTGTGTTTAAGACAAACACACAGCTACAACATTCTAGGGCATTAGGTCCTTCAGGTTAGCTGAGTCTCCTGCCGTATGTCTATAAATAAAGAAGAGAGAATTGTATCTTTTCTTTAATTAGGAAAAAGTGAACATTACTAATAGCTGATTATGTCTCTTTTAAGAAAACTGTTCGAAAATTTACAAAGAGATAAAGAATGAAAAAGGCCCTCTTCTCCACCCAAAGACACCAATTCTTACTGGTTGCCTGTAACTTGGGAGACAGACTAAGAGAAATACCGAACTACATGCACAGTTCTGTACGCCTTGCTTTTTTGAGTTAAGAATCTGTCACATGAAAATTGTTCTCTATCATTATAGGAAAGTTTTATCATTCATATTTGTTTGCTTTTTCCTAAATTGTATTGTGTTGATGTTGATAATATACCCAGTGAAACACACCCCAATCCAACATGTACATGTTGTACATGCTTCTACATGTACACAGTATAGTGACACCGATTACATTCTTCAAGTTGTCCAACCTCCTCTTCTGAGTTGTCCCACCTCATGAACAAACTCACCACCCTACCACTCCCCTGGAAACTTCCATGTTGCTGCTGTCGATTTGATCCCACAGAGGGAGTTCTTAAAAAGGCGTAACACTGAAGACAGAGCTCTGTTACTAGTTAAGCTGAATTACTGTGGGCTTTGAGAAGATTTACGGAGATGTTTTGGTTGGAGCCTTCACGATGAGCTCAGTGCAACAGTTTACGGGGGACGTCTACCCACCACGACTCCAGAAAAGTCTGGTCTGCGGGGATTTGATGGTCTGTTCTGCACTGCACTCTTGGATCAAGATTCTTCTAAGCAATCTGTGATCAAAATGTTCAGTAGTCAAGCACCATGCAGTCCCTACGGTCGCAGGACAAAGAAGGCAGTGCACATGCGCAATTAACCACAAATTCTGTATCTTCCTGCTATTCCTGGCTCTCCTTCTTAGTGACATTATTTCCTTTTATAATTGACTGCCTATCCTGAACCCACTATAATGTTGACAACCTAATTTATATAAACTTGCAAATGTATTTATAAATACAAGTATACAGAATTTTGCTGTTTGCTCTAAGAAATTAATTTTAAAATTGAGACATAATTAGATAAGCAAGGCTTAAGTATACACACCCTGATGACTTTTAATAAATGCATTCACACCAATTTGTGAATCACCCAAACAACTTTTTGTGGCTCTTTCCTATGATTCCTCCCATGCAGGGAGCCAGTATCCTAATTTCTATCTGTAGAGGTTAAGTTTTTGTCTGTTTTTAAATTCTATGTAGGTAAAATAAAGTAGTACATATTTTTTATTATTGCAGTATACTGGTATGCCAGACGTGTGGTGTGATTTTTAGATTACCCATGCTGTTGAATACATAAAATTCATTCTTTTTTTATTAGTGACTTGTATTCCTTTATGTAAATATATCACATTCCATTTATTCACATCAAGGGATACTTGAGTTATTTCCAGATTGGGACTTTATGAATAAAAGTGCTCTGGATAATAAGTTTTTTTGTGGGAAATGAATTCATTTCTCTTGAGTAAATATCTAGGAATAGGAATGTATAAGAAGTATACGTTTTGACTTATGCTACAAAATCACAGACACCTTTATTACACAAAAATATCAAAATGTGAAAATACTGCCTCCAGCTAGGTCTGTATAGGACTGAAGGTGGTGTTCATGGGTCATGTGTTGGCTGCTACCAAAAAGTCAAGAATTTGAAGAGGAGGCTGTTTTTTTCTACTAAATCTTTTAGGATGCTATGATTACAGCCTTTAGTATGGATAACAACTCAATGTAAAGAAAGCAAAAATCCTCAAAAATAACATCATGATAAATGAAGAAAAGGTTGAAGTTGTCAAGGATTTTGTCTTGCTTGGATCCACAATCAATGATCATGGAAGCAGTAGTCAAGAGATCCAAAGATGTGTTGCATTGGGTAAATCTGTAAAGCAAGGGTGTTACTTTGAGGACTAAGTATTGTAAAGCAAGGTGTTACTTTGAGGACTAAGATGTGCCTGATATGCACATTGTAAGTATTGTAAAGCAAGGGTGTTACTTTGAGGACTAAGATGTGCCTGATCCAAACTATGGTATTTTCCATTGCCTCATATGCATGTGAAAATAAGGAAGATTGTAGAAGAAGAGATGCATTTGAATTCTGGTGCTAGAGAAGAATATTTAAACTACTATGGAATGATATTGGTCAAACCACTCTACCTTGGAAGTAGTATGACCAGAGTGTGCCTTAGATACAAGATGGCAAGACTTGGTCTTGCATGCTTTGGACAAACTGTGAGGAGAGACCAGTCCCTGGAGGGCATCATGCTTAGTAAAGTGGAAGGGCAATGGAAAAGAGGCAGGTTCTCGAGGAAGCGGCCTGACACCGTGGCTGAAACAATGGGCTCAGGAACAGGAGCAATGGTGAGGACGGCGCAGGACCTGCACAGGGTTTGTTCTGCTGTGCATAGGGTCACGATGAGTCAGAACTGACGCGATGGTGCCGAACAACATGGCTGGGCTGATTTGAAAGCAGTGGGTCAACCCTTCCCCAAATGACTCGCCTTTCTTTGATTTCTATCATGTCAAATGGCAGTTCTGTCATCCTCAAGGGGCTCAAGTTGTGTTCCCTGTCAACGTCCTTTGAGTTTGAGGAACCAGGGCTGAGACAAGTGTTGCTACTGAGAAAACATGTTCATAGCCATCCACTGATCACAGAGATTGATTTATATGTTTTGCTAGGAATAAACCTAGGCATGTGTAAACTGGAACTCTAGTCGCAGTACTTTTTGACTGGCTGTTTTATGTTAAATTTTAAGAGACTGCATTTCCCATCGTGATTTTACCATTTTATGTTTCCACAGTAATGTAGGAGAATTGCAGTTGTGTGCAGCTTTACTAGCACTTAATGTTCTCAGTCCTTTAAATGTACCATGTGGTGGACATCTAATGGTACCTAAATGATGGGGGAACATTTTCATTTTCTTAACAACTGTTGATGCTGACTAAGCACCTCTCTAAAGTGCTTTGGCTACATAGCTATCTATTTTGGGAATAAACTGTTCAAACATTCTCATCATTTTATATATTGGGTTGTAATTATTACCTTTTATTATTGATTGTAAATGTCCTTTGTATGTCCTGGAAACAAACAATTTTTCATGTCTGTCTCTCTGTCTGCTACTTACCTACCTACTGAACTATCTATAGAATAGTTTCTCTAAGGGTAAGACTTAAATTTTTATTTTATTTCAGTATAAGTATTTTAAACTTTTATATACATTTTCAAAAATAACCTCAAGCTTAAAGAAGAGTCACTACTAGAAAGAAATGTTTTCTTTCTGAAAACATGCACTGCAAACCATCAGCTCAGGCAACATCTAACTACATTCACACCTGTGGTCCCATAAGAAAGTTCAGCAATCCTGATCTGGACAGCTTCCTGCATGCAATACTTGGATCTCAGTCCTCATATACAAAGCAAATGAGCTGCCAGATAGGCAACCCACCATGCTCATGTCTTGATAGCCATAACAAATGACTATGTTCCTGTTTAATGTATGTACCATACTAGAAAAGCCCAAAGTGCGTGATACCAATCCCCCCCGGGGTGGGATATGCTGGAACAACCAGGGGACAGGGCAGCTTGCAGAAGCAGATAACTACACTTTATCCTGTATTATGGGCTTCAGTACAAAAGTTTAAAATGGCCAAGGAGGCACTGAGTAATTTTTTTTTCTGGGAACCTATGTACTATACTTTCTGTCTAAAAAGTTTGCCATATAACGGTGTATGTTTCAACTTAAAATACAGAGTAACCAATCTCTCATAGCATGTGTCTCTTCAATGCTATAGCATTAACTCTCTGTTTAACTTACTTACGCTAATATTGCCACAAGAACATTATGGCTCCCAAACAGAGCGAAACTGGTGTTGGTGAGAGCAGCAGCAAGAGGAACAGAAGTCTTGATTTGGAAGTGGTTACTAAACACCACGAAAGTGGAAAACTCAGTGAATGCTACTGCTTCTGCCTTAAGCATGTCACACTTGACAATCGGGTCACAGCAGACAATCGTGACGGTTCTCAGGCAAACACAAAATTCCCCTGGTTGTTAAAAGATCAGCTCCCCTGAAAGCTACCACGCTTAACAGAAATGCAGGAGACTCATATCATATATGGAGTAATTGCTAATGATGTGGGCTGAGGACCAAACACCAAAGCAAGGCCCTCTCAGCGTGTTGGCAAGCAATGGCTAAAACAAGGAGCTTCTTATGCTTAAGACCAGAGTATACAATATCACGCTTGTTTGCACAATGCCCAAATCACATGATGTCCTATTTCACAGAACATATCAGGGATTTTAAGCAAAAACGCTTGAAAGTATTTGTATGTGTACTTCTTACAAACAAGTACATTCTGCTACAGATCACAATATACCTAACCAAAGCAGGAAATGGCAATGATATAGTACTCTTTCTAGCCAATCTTCCCCAGTCAAACTTCATGAATCATATCAATACTGTCTAAGGATCCAGATAAATAGCAGGGAATGGACTTAGTTGTCTGATCACTTTCCTTCAGTTTGAAACAGTCATTCCATCTTTCTCTTGGCTTTCAAGATTATGATACTTTTGATGCCTACAAACCAGTTACTTTGTAAAATACCCCTCAACTGGGGTGTCTTAAATTTTCTTGGTTATTAAATTCCATTTCCATTAGAATAACCAATGATTCCCGTCTATTTATCTTCCTAGTTGTTTGCAGTATCTTTTCTCTAATATATTAAAATTCCCCATGTGTGGGTCTGTTTCCAGGCTAATGTATTTCTACTTCGTCTGTTGAAATACCACTGTTTTAATTATTATAACTTTACATTGCTAACTGCATTCTATGCCAGTTATTCTGCCTGAATTCTGTTTTTTATTGGTATAAACTGTTGTCCACCTACTCCCTAGTATCCAATCTCCCAATTAATTAATCTCTCAACCAACAACAACAACAAAATTCATAGAAAGGTTATTGTTTTAAGACCTATCCAAACATCTCCTCTTCCAGAAAGGAGTCTTCTCAGCACACCCCAGTATGATCTCGGCATAATCCCAGCTTCCGGTTACTCCACGGAAACCTAGTGGTGAGGTGGGCTACCGGTGTGGCTGCAAGATCAGTGGCTTGAACCTGCTAGTTGCTCCATGAGAGAAAGATAAGGCTTTCTACTCCCTTCAAGATTTACAGCCCTGAAAACCTACAGGGGCAATTCAACTCAGCCCTACCACATTGGAATCAACCTGATGACAAGGATGTTTAAATGTTTCTGTTATTCATTAATATGCCATTCAAATGTGCAAGATGTAACTTAAAAGGCATAGTACGTGTGGTGTAGAGTTCCACATCCATCTCCTGCCATCTGCATAGCAAGGTCTTCACTTTGACTATCACAGTATAGCACAGTAACTGTTGTCTAATAGTATCAGTTGTCTAGTAATACCGAATGGAAAGTATACAGTTAGTTCTTAAATGTTAAAACTAGGACTCTGTTTTGCAAATGCTAGGTTAGTAACCTCAAAACAGACATGTGCTCTAGATCCGAAAAATACAAGCATATGCATACCTTCAGCGTCTTGATCATGGTTGGATCAGTTGATCTAACGTAAAAACTCTTCAGATAAGGTTCAAACATACCCTAGATTACAAAAACAACAACAATTATATCTGTATGTCGATACATCTGTTGTATGAATCTTTTCATTCTTTGATTAAAGTATGTGTTCACAATGGACATACCTTTCTTTGAATGGACATAGTTGCTATATTCTGTAGGACAATGTACTGCACCTCCCTAGGGATTGAAGAAGACATTTCACTGGGTATTACTTCCCAAGAAAATACCTTTCAAGTAAACAATACATTTAAAGATAAATAATCAGCACAGTATTTCACACTGAATGGAATTTTTAATGAAAGATCAAAAAGGTTTAATAAATTTATTTATGCGGTGGTAGTTACATAATCTGGTGTCAATTTGGGACTTGAGAGGATTAAGAGTGAAGGGGTGGAGTCTAGTCTGTCAATCGGGTCACAGTCAATGAGACCTCTGTGGGCATGGCCTTCCCCTGAGGATTCTGGGAAAACTCTGGTTTTTCTTCATTGGAGGTGGGAAGACACTTTCTCTCTCTGCTCACTCCCTGAGAGACTCTCTACTAACAAGACACATGAAGCTATGCTAATGGAAGCGAGAGCCCTGGACCTGGAGAAGCAACGCCTGAGATACCTGGCAGCACTGAGCTGCTTCCACCATGACCATCCACCCACTGGCCTGTGATCTTCCTGCAGTCGGGCGTCATTGCATATGTTTCCTGAGTCTGGAGAGGACTTTATATATGGGTATCAGATATATGGGTTAATATCACACTTATGGACTTGATCTGGACTGGGCTGGGACATTTTTTCAATATTCAATTGCTCGTATATATAAACTTCTTTCCTATATACATATGAGTGTCTCTATGAATTTGTTTCTCTAGTCTCCCTGCACTAACATATGTCTTCTTTTTAAAAACATTTTTCTTATAAACTCCTGGTGATACAGTGGGTGCCGTGCTGAGCTGCTAACCTTGAAACCACCAGCAGCTCCTTGGGAAAAAGACTAGGTTTTCAGTCTTGGAAACTCAGAGGCAGTTCTACCCCATCCTACTGGGTCACTATGAGTCACAATTGATTAGATGACAGTGAGTGAATAACTACATTTAATTTATCATGATTAAAAGTTAAAACTAACTTTATAACACTATATTTGCCAATACTGCAATTACTCTAAATACATGTGAACGGTGGGGTATTTGTAGGGTTAATGACATAAATATGACAGTAGCATTAATATAATCTGAACAGAATGTTCATTCACCCTATCACTCTATCCTACTCAGAGTCAAAAGCAATATTAAAAAGAAGTGATGTTATTATGCACAAATATCTAGCAAAAAAATAAAATTCGGTATAAAGTTGTATGTAATAGCCCACTCCAGGCACTTCTGATTTTCCTTGAGCCAGCAATGTTAAGAGAGAAATCACTGAACTGAGAAAGGGGAAACAAATACCTATCAACAGGAATGCACAGGAAGTAGCCTCCCACTTGTCATTAGGGGACAGTCAAAGACAGCCAAGGTCTAGCACTGTGACAGGACATTTCAGGTAAGGACAAAACAATGTGTAACTTCATATATAATGACCTTGGTATCAGAAGCACTGCACTCAGTTTTTAATAATTTTTAAAATGCTAGTAGCCAAAGATAAGGGCCAACTGTTAAAGATGTACTCTGAAATCCAAAAAATTAGATAATAAATTTGCCTTAAAGTTTGAAATTATACCTCAGAGGAACTCAATAGATCTCCCGCCCACCGCCCCCCATCATTCCCCCAATGATTGTCTTGAATTACTGAACGATACCAAAAACCACACTCACTGCCATTAACTCTCCTCTGACTCAGAGCCACCCTACAGGACAGGGCACAACTGCTCAGCACGTTTCCAAGCCTGTAACTCTTTGCGGGAATAGTAAACCCTGTCTTTCTCTCTTAGAGCAGCTAGTGGCTGACCCTGGGGATCATAGCCCCAAAATGTAACCACTATGCTACCAGGGATCCTACTCCTGAATGATGGGCAGTTAAAACTAAAGCAACAGGTGTTTCTATCTATCAGAAATTAAACGAACATGCACTTGTATCAAATGAGTAGCTGTTAAGAGAGGAACCCTCATGGTGCAGTGAGCTAAGCACTAGGCTGCTGGCCACAAGGTTGGCGGTTCAGACCCACCAGCCACTCAAGAGAGAAAATATTAAGGATGTCTGCTCTTAGTCTAGATGGTCGCTTGTTTACCTTCAAGTCTTATATAGAGAATAGTTCTACTCTGTCCTATAGAATCACTGTGAGTTGAAATCAATCTGACAGTAGTGAGGGTTTTTTTAAGT